ATTGTAAATTTTTATTTATTTATTTATGTTATATAGCGATAGTATATCTAAGTCATCAAACCCTAACTCTAGCTAGATCCTAACCCTAAACAAAAATTGTTATACGATAATTTCGCAACCTTAATTCTAAATTAAAGACACCAACGCTTTTCATCAAGACTCAAAAATTACTATCTAAATGCGCCAATGTTACCTAACACTACGAAAATGCATTCATTTAAAAGTATTCCCGGCATAGCACTAATCGCAATGGCTCCTAAAAACAGTGACACCAACGAAAGTTTGCATCTCCGGGAACAGCACCACAAAACGGCAGGAATATATTAGCAAACGATAACACCAAAAAGTATGCCGATGAATGACGAAACAACAACTCAGTTACACTAAAAAAAGAAAAAAAAACTGGTTAGTAAAAAAAATAAAGAGTAACATGACAAAAGAAAAACATAACGACGTGAAGTAATGACCATGACCGGTTCACCGACACATATTTCGTAGACATAACATTTTACCGACAAAAATTCACCGAAACTCATTTCACTGACTAAATAATTCTGGTTATTGTCGTTAGGGCCAGGTTAGAATTAGAGTTAAGGTTAGTGGGATTAATAAAAAAAAATTTGTTTATGTAATGAGCTTCTGAAACTTGTCGACGAAATAATTGTAGGTGAAATAAACATGTCGGTGAATTTTTGTCGGTGAAATGTTATGTCTACGAAATGAGTGTCGGTAAAAGTGATACGTATCCATAACGACGGCACCCACAAGACAACAGAAATGCATCAACAAGCGATAATAACAGTCAACCACACCGGCAAGCGACGAATGACAACAAAAACAACACGAATATAATGCTACAAATAGAGGACTGGTTAGTAAAGTAAAAACAAAAGTAACACGAAGAAGAGAAAATCGATGACGAAATGTAACGACGACACCTATGAAACACAGGAATGCGACAACACCAAGCAATTTCAGATAACCACACCGCCAAACGATGACAA